GATCACCTCTAGCTTTGCTTATAATTGTGAACTATTGCTATGCCTGCTCATTGTACTGATTACACCCCACTTTGGCTATGGGGGTGTGTCAGAATGTTATTATTATCTAGCCTGTAGTGGGGTGCTCTATAGCGAGTACAACCTAGTTAGGGTTTGCTATATGTACCCCAACTGCTGCTAGTGAAACCTCCTCTCCTTTCAATCATTCTTGCCTAGTCTTGTTAACATTACCACCCCACCTCGCGACGTGTCTTTGCGTCTCAGGACGTCACGTTCGACGAGTCGGTTCCCTTTTACCGTCTCTTCCCCTACCGCACTGCCTCGCTCCCCCCCCCGCCGCTCTTCCTCGCTCCAGGTGCTCCCCAGGTAGACCCCCTCCCCGCTCCCGGTCCTGCTCCTTCAGGTGTTTCTCAGGTAGACCCTCCTCCCTTGACTGCGCCGGTTGAGGTCACTGGTGACTCAGGTCCTACTGAGAGTGGTCCTGCTCGGGGTGCTACTTCTGGGGGTGCTGAGCCTAGGGGTGCGGAGCCTGGGGGTGCTGAGCCTGGGGGTACTGAGCCTGCGGGTGCGGAGCTTGAGGGTGTAGAGCCTGGTGGTGCTGAGCCTGAGTGTGAGGGGTCTGGGGGTGCTGAGCTTGGCGGTACTGACGCTGGAGGTTCTGGAGCTACTGAGGGTGCTGGCGCTGGAGGTTCGGGAGCTGCTGGAGGGCCTAGTACTGGTGACGCTGGAGCTGGAGGTTCTGGAGCCGCTGGAGGTACTGGTGCTGAGGGTACTGACACCGGAGGTTCTGGAGCCGTTGGGGGTGCGGGCGCTGAGGGTTCTGAGTCTGCTGTTGCGCGGTCTCCTTGGAGTGGCCGCCTTCGTCCACGTGTGCCTCTCACCCCACAGCAGCTGCAGGACTGGTACGGTCGCCGTCAGCGCCGCGCTGCTGGAGCTCGGAGTCGTGCTGGTCCTTTGTCTACTGGAGGTGCTGGAGTTGCTGGTTCTGGAGGGGCTCGTGCTGGAGACACTGAGGCTGGAGACCCTGGGACTGGAGGTGCTGGCTCTGGGGGTGCTGCTGCTGGAGACACTGAGGTTGGAGACCCTGGAGCTGGAGGTGCTGGTTCTGGGGGTGCTGCTGCTGGAGACACAGAGGTTGGAGACCCTGGGACTCGAGGTGTCGGCTCTGGGCCTGGAGGTACTGGAGCTGCTGGAGGTACTGGAGCTGCTGGAGGCACTGGAGCTGCTGGAGCTGCTGGTACTGGTGCAGCTGCGCCGACACGACTGTTCTTCGCTCCGCCGTCTCCGTCGTCTCTGCCGCCGTCTGCCTCTGTTCTTCGTCAGGTTCTTACTCTTCCGTCGTCTACTGGTCTTCCGTTACAGTCTGGCTCACCGCTGCCTGCTCCTTCTCCTTACGCTGAGCTGACTGGTAGTCCTGCTGAGCGTCGTGAGCCTGCGTCGCGTCCTGTTTCGCCTGTTCGTCCTGGTCGTACCGGTCGTCGTGTTCCTCGTTCGCGTCAGCCGGCTGTCCCCGGCGCACACCTCGTAGTCCGTTGTCCTTCCTCTGCTCCGCCGCCTGTTCCTCTGCCGTCTCCTCCTGCGTCCTCTGTGCCTCCCGTTCCGGACCCTGAGTCTGACCGGTTTCGTACTGAGCACCCTACTGTCACGCGTCTCCTAGCCACTATTGTCACTGACCCGTCGTTTGAGTCTACTGCTGCGTCTGCCTTGGTCGCTGAGCTTGTTGACTTTGCTGCTGCCTGTCGTCTAGACTACACCGCCAGTCTTGTTGCTGAGTCTGAGTCTGTCTGTCCTCCGTCCGTCGGGGGTGAGTGTGCTCTTAGCACGGACGTCCTTGAGGACAGGCAGGAGGAGTTCCAGTGTCTTGCTGCTGCTTTACCTCATCTTGTGTCCTCGCTACTTGCCCCTGAGGGAGACCCGGATGCACCAGACATCCCGACTCCGCGCTCTTACGCAGAGGCGATAGAGGGTCCCTACTCCTCTCAGTGGCAGGCAGCCATGGACGCAGAGATGGCTTCCTGGAAGTCCACAGGCACCTACGTTGACGAGGTTCCCCCACCTGGGGCGAACATCGTCAGTGGCATGTGGATTTTCAGGGTGAAGCGGCCGCCGGGTTCTCCGCCTGTCTTCAAGGCGCGTTACGTAGCTCGAGGCTTCAGTTTGCGAGAGGGAGTTGACTTCTTCCAGACCTTCTCCCCCACCCCGAAGATGACCACTCTTCGGGTGCTGCTGCATGTTGCTGCTCACCGTGACTACGAGCTTCACTCTCTTGACTTCAGCACAGCTTTCTTGCAGGGCAGCCTGCACGAGGAGATCTGGCTGCGCCGCCCCCCGGGCTTCACTGGGTCGTTCCCTCCTGGCACCCAGTGGAGCCTCCGGCGGCCGGTCTACGGTCTCCGCCAGGCGCCACGTGAGTGGCACGACACACTGAGGACTACGCTTGCGGCTCTTGGGTTCGCGCCTTCTACTGCTGACCCGTCGCTGTTTCTGCGCACCGACACTTCACTGCCGCCGTTCTACATCCTCGTGTACGTCGACGACTTGGTTTTTGCCACTTCTGACACTGAGGCTCTCGCCCACGTGAAGTCGGAGCTGCAGAAGAGACACACGTGCACTGACTTGGGTGAGCTGCGCAGCTACCTTGGCTTGCAGATCACCCGGGACAGAGCACGTCACACCATCACCCTGACTCAGTCACACATGGTGCAGCAGGTCCTTCAGCGCTTCGGCTTCACCTGGTCTTCAGCACAGGCCACTCCTCTGGCTACAGGTCATTCGCTCTCAGCTCCACCTTCGGACGAGTCCGTAGAGCCGAGTGGTCCTTACCCAGAGCTAGTCGGCTGCCTCATGTACCTGATGACTTGCACTCGACCTGACCTCGCGTACCCTCTTGGTCTTCTGGCTCGCTACGTGGCTCCTGGTCGGCACCGACCTGAGCACATGGCTGCTGCTAAGAGGGTACTGCGCTACTTGTGCAGCACATCAGGCATGGGGCTAGTGCTTGGAGGGACGAGCCCAGTTGTCCTCACTGGGCACTTAGACGCTTCTTGGGTTGACGACCTGGCTACTCAGCGGTCGTCGCAGGGTTACACCTTCAGCCTTGGCTCTGGTTCAGTTTCGTGGCGTTCTACACGCTCGTCTTCAGTTCTCGGCTCCAGTTGTGAGGCTGAGATCTACGCCACAGCCATGGCTGCACAGGAGTTACGCTGGCTCACCTATCTGCTGACTGACTTGGGAGAGCAGCCTCGTTCTCCTCCAGTGCTGTACGTCGACAACAAGGCCGCCATTGCCTTGTGTGAGGAGCACAGACTGGAGCACAGAACGAAGCACATTGCTCTGCGTTACTTCCTGGCTCGAGAGTTGCAGCAGCGAGGCCAGCTTCGTCTTCGCCACGTGGCCACTCGGGCCAACACTGCTGATATATTCACCAAGGCACTTCCGTCTGGTGATCATCAGCGCTTTTGTACTCTGTTGGGCCTTGTGCCTACGTTTCCGCACTTGCTGTAGTCTCTGTTTGTACTGTGATCTATATATATACCTGCATGCTGGCTCTTGCTAGGTAGCCATCACTGTACTGTTATTGCTGCATATATATCTCTGCATGTGAACTGGCCCTGTGACCTTTTGCTTGTGCTCAGTATGCGTGGTGACGCTGTGATCCACCCTGAGCTTGTTTTGCTTCTCTTGACTGGTCGTGTGACCCCTTGTTCTCCCCCACTTTGCCTATGGAGGTGTGTCAAACTATATGTGTTGCATATTGTTTAGGCTGTAGTGGGGTAGCCCATATGGGGTACCACCAAATTAGGGTTTACTACTTGTACTCCTGCATCCTGTTAGTTCACTCATTCATGCTGCTAGTTTCTAACAGTAAGACCGTATGTTCTGCTGCTGAGTTGGGGTGATATTTCTCAGCAGGATCGTGTACGCCATCATCGACTGATATGTGTACTGCTGCTTCTCATACTGTGTGCCGTTTGTTGGGTATGGCAGGGACCCGTCGAAGAAGCCAAGTATCTGCGCGCCTTCCATCATCAGCTCGAATTCGAACGACCAGGTAAAGAAGTCTTTCCCGTCGAAGGGCCTTGACGTCTGCAGTTTCAAGACGTGCGCGAATTGCGACTGGACTTGTAGTGCATCCAGTTGTTTTTCTTGTCCAGATGGAGCTTGCGGGTGCGGCATGAAGCTGATGGACCCGCGTTCGTACGGAGCGAAGGTAGGTTGTTGCTGATTCCCGCGCGCATATGATGAACCATCAAGACTCATTGGAGTCACGTTGTTGTTGTTGCTGTTGTTTGACTGCGCAGGTGCCGACTGCTGGTGTTGCTCGTAAAACGACATGAAGGAGAAAAATTTCTCCATCATACTCTGGTCGAAGCTGGCAGGTTGGTTAGTTGAAGGCGCTTCTGGTCCCGTTGCAGTTCCTTCCTCTGTCTGCAGGCCAGAGGCAGGAGGTGGGGTAGGAGTAGTCCCGGGAGAACCATTGGAGGAACTCCTTTCCTTGTATGTTGCCATGTCGTCTGTTGATGTCTTGGTAGTAGTTGAATTTTCCCTGATAGCTCTCATACCATGTTGGGCTGAGAAAAAGCCCTTAGGATCTTTTGCAGGGGTAAATTCGGGGTAGGACTATTGTAATAGCGGAAGCGTTTAATGAAGACTTGTGAACCACCTTGCACTAGTGTGTGAGAGCAAAGTAAGTTGATTAAAGCAAGGGAATACAAGCGTTTATATATGAGTACAAGGAATATGAAAGGATGCAGTTGTAACTACTTTACTGTTGCTGTTGCGGTTCGATACAGTAACGACTCGGGCAACCGCTCTGTAACGAGTCGGTTGTGTGTCCTTGCTGACGTACAGTACTTGTCAGGTCAAAGGTCGCTGACCTTTGACTTTCGCGTAACCTCCGGCAACCTCTTTCAACCTCCGAGGGTTGACTCGCTCGTGCCTCGATATGACTCGCTTCGCTTCTGGTGTGATGTTTCGACACGACAGAGGCGCTTTAGGAATTACTTGTTTCCAACAGCAACCACCTGTACACAATGCAACGATTGCGCATCATAGGAAGCAGCAGTAGGGCCGCCATCAGCAGCAGCTGCAGCACCACCAGAAGGCCCATCACCCCCACCAACTGCATTACCAGTAGTACCAGCATCACCACCACCCACACCAGCAGAATTCACACCCACACCTGTATGAGCTCTTGCACTATTGGCTCCACCACCACTGACACCAGACAGTGTTCGAGAGGCAGCAGGTGTGTCCGCGAGACCACCTCCCCTACCCACTGCTTCCACTGTATTCGGCGTTTTCAATGTATTCTTTAGCGTTTTTGGTGTTTTGGGTGTTCTGGGCGTTCGGGGTGTTCTGGGCGTGTCACCGCCACGACCACTGCCACCACCACCTGCAACCTCGCCCATCTCCATCAGAGCCGTCAAAGTCTGCACCATGTCGGCCATTGACGGCCGAGATTTCGCGTCCTGCAGGCAGCAGTGCGCAGCAACAGCGAGCTTGAGAGCTCCCTTGTGCGAGAACCTCCCTTCCAGCCTCGGATCCACGATCTCACCGACCCTCCTCCTGTCTGCCAGGAACGGCTTGGCCCAAAAGACGAGGTTCTTCTCGTCACCTGGTCGGTCTATGTCCACGGCTCTTCGGCCGCAGAGGAGTTCTAGCAGCACCACTCCAAAGGCGTATACGTCGCTCTTTGCTGTCAGGTGGCCTGGTGGTAAAGGAGGTGCGGTGTAGCACGGGTGGGAGGGAAGGGGAATCGGTGATCAATGGGGCAGTGGAGCACGGGTGGGAGGGGAGGGGAGTTGATGTTTGTTGCCCTTGTGGCCACGGATTCACAAGCTCAATGACCCTCTTCCACCAGCCCTTACCTGTTTTGACTTTTGAGTCGACTCAAAAGTTTGTTGCCCTTGGCGCCACGGATCCACAAGCTCAATGACCCTCTGGCCCACCAGCCCTTACAGACACGTGACCACCATGGCGGTGGGTACCTGTTTGTACCGCTCTGCCATAAGTACCCACCACCATGGTGGACACATGTGTGTTATTGAGTCGACTCAAAAATCGACTTATCACACACACATCTTACCTGTTTGTACCGCTCTGAACCATAAGTACCCACCACCATGGTGGACACGAGTCTGTTCTCCCCTCTGCAGAGCCATTCCTGCCTACACAGCTCTGCACCGCTCTGAACCACATTATACCTGTTTGAAGATACTCAGGGGCGGTGTAGCCATAGGTACCGACCACCATGGTGGACACGTGCGTGTTCTCCCCTGCCGGTCCTTAACAATCTATGCCGCTCTGCACTGTTACAGCATCACTCATTACCGCTCTGCACCACATCGTACCAGTCTGCAGGTATTCAGGGGCGGTGTAGCCATAGGTACCGACCACCATGGTGGAAACATGCGTGTTCTCCCCTGCTGGTCCGTCCTTGGCCAATCCAAAGTCTGAGAGCTTCGCATTGAAGTTCTGTTGGGAGGGAGGAGGCAGGAAGTGGGAGCGACAGGGCTGTTCTTTGAGTCCACTCAAAAGTCACCCACATAAGTACCAACCACCATAGTGTACAGGGTCGACATTTGAGTCGACTCAAAAATCGACTCATCACATGCGGACATGTGTGTGGTCTCCCCTGCTGGCCCGTCTTTGGCCAGTCCAAAGTCTGACAGCTTGGCATTCGAAGTTCTGTCAGGAAAACGTTGAGAGTGGTGGAATGTGGTGGGGTGTGGTGTGCGGGGCGTTGAAAGGTTGTGAGGCCCCAGCAGGTCAGTCTTAAGGCCACTCCGAACTTACAGCTTCACATTCAAGTTCTGTTGGGAAAGGTTGAGAGTGGTGGGATGTGGTGGCGTGTGGTGAATGGGGATAGCGGGGGGAAGGGTGGGGAAGAGAGTGAGGGAGCGATGATAGAGAGAGAGGCACGTGGGGGGTTGCGGGGGGAAAGGAAGAAACGTGGGGAATGTGAGGCCCCAGCAGTCTGTTCCTGGACAACCTAAGTCAGCCAAGTTTTGCATCGAGGTGCTGGCAACAAGGGATAGGGGAAGAGAGGAGAGAGGGAGAGGGGGGTCGGGGGGAGGTGTGGTGAGGGTGCTGTGAGGAATGAGGTATGATTAGATTTTCGCAAAAGGATTTCTTTACGCCAGCCCCTGTGCTGCCCCCTACTCTCACCAGGCATACAGGGATTCCCCCACCCCACCCGCCCTCACCTCATCCAGCAGTATATTTGCCGCTTTTAAATCTCTGAAGATCACCTGTTGCTCCGTGCCCTCATGCAGGAATGCTAACCCCGTGGTCCCATGCCTCTTGTGTTGACCCAGCACCCCAGCCCACAACACACACACACACACACACACACACACACACACACACACACACACACACACACACACACACACACACACACACACACACACACACACGCACGCACGCACGCACGCGCGCGCGCGCGCGCACACACACACACACACACACACACACACACATCCCCCCACCTGCCACCCGCCACCCGCTCTCACCTCATCCAGCAGTATATTCGCCGCTTTTAGATCTCTGAAGATCACCTGCCTCTCCGTGCCCTCATGCAGGTATGCTAGCCCCTTAGCCGCACCCAGAGCCACGTTGACGCGCTGCTGCCACGTGAGAGGGGGGCGGGTGCCTGGCAGGGGGAAAGGAGGATTGGGGAGTGGAGAGAACAAATAGGGAGTGATGGGGCCAGGTGGTAATCCAGTGATGCATTGGAATCACTTTTGAGAATTCTCAAAGGTAATCCAGTGATGCATTGGAATCACTTTTGAGAATTCTCAAAGGTAATCCAGTGATGCATTGGAATCACTTTTGAGAATTCTCAAAGGTAATCCAGTGATGCATTGGAATCACTTTTGAGAATTCTCAAAGGTAATCCAGTGATGCATTGGAATCACTTTTGAGAATTCTCAAAGGTAATCCAGTGATGCATTGGAATCACTTTTGAGAATTCTCAAAGGTAATCCAGTGATGCATTGGAATCACTTTTGAGAATTCTCAAAGGTAATCCAGTGATGCATTGGAATCACTTTTGAGAATTCTCAAAGGTAATCCAGTGATGCATTGGAATCACTTTTGAGAATTCTCAAAGGAAATCCAGTGATGCATTGGAATCACTTTTGAGAATTCTCAAAGGAAATCCAGTGATGCATTGGCCATGAGCTCGTATACAAGCAGAGCCTGCTGCTGCTGCTTAATGCAGTATCCACCCACTCGCATGCATACCGACACTCACATGCACTGCAGAGCAATGACTGGCTGTGAAAGATAGAACAGTACAGGGAGGCAAGGCAACTGACCGTCACACAGTACCCACCCACCCACCCACACGCATAAAGAGGTGGCAGTCATTCAGGCACGGCGACTGACCGTCAAACAGGTGGTAATCCAGCGATGCATTGGCCATGAGCTCGTACACCAGCAGGGCTTGCTGCTGGTCCACACAGTACCCCACGAACTGAACCAGATGGGGGTGGCGCAGGCGACGCAGAAACACCACCTCCGTCTGAAGAAAAAAGTGGGGGGAAGAGGGAAGACGACGGGGATTGATACGAAAGGAGAGGAGTGGGGAGTTGGGGCGAGCAGGGTGTGTTGCTGCTCCACACAGTACCCGACGAATTGCACCGGGTGGGGGTGGAGTTTTGAGTCGACTCAAAACTCGTTGCGGCTCCACACAGTACCCGACGAACTGCACCAGGTGCGGGTGGCGCAGGTGCGGGTGGCGCAGGTGCGGGTGGCGCAGGTGCGGGTGGCGCAGGTGCCGCAGAAACACCACCTCTGTCTGATGAGGTGGGAAGAGAGAGAGAGAGAGAGAGAGGGGGGGTGGGGGGGGAGGGAGGACTAGGGTGATGGGGGAACAAGGAAGGCATGGACGGGGGAGAAAGAAGGAAAAGAAGGTGGAAAAGGGATGGCGACATTAGGAATGTGCTGGAAACCTGTCCCCACCCACTTACCACCCATGCCCTAGCACCCATGCCCAACCACGCATGCCCAACCACGCATGCACGAAGACCCAATCAGACAACCAGTTGTGACCACACCACCCGCAGCCCTTACCACCCGCAGCCCTTACCAGCCATTCGTTGAATCCCTGCCGCCCCTCGTCATTCAGCTGCTTCACTGCCACGTGGCGCTCCACCGTGCTGCCATCTGGCGCATCCTCGCGAACCACCCCACGGTACACCTTCCCGTACCCGCCCTCGCCCAGCACGTTCACCGCACTGAACCCATCTGTAGCCGCTACGAGCTCCTCGTACGAAAACTCCACGGGGTTGGGCAGATTCGTGTCGCTGCTGCGAACATTGTCGTCGTTTTCGCCAGGGTAACCATTTGCGCCGAGAGTGGAGCCGCCATATGCGCCGCCGGATGTTCCTCCGTGTTTTCCGCCGTACCCTGCGCCGTATCCCGCGGCGCAACCTCCTCCTGAGCCTCCTCCTGGTGCTAGCCTTGGCGGAAATGAGTCGTCCGAAGAGGGGATCGTGAGAGACGGTCGACGAGGACGAAGCTTGGAATCTTTGCCGCAAGGTTTGGTATCGGAATGCCTGGAGGGGACTGCAGGTGGAAAGAGAGTGAGGGGGGGGAGCGAGACGCGTAGGAGAAGATTTTTCAGTTGACGCAGGAATAGGAATGCCTGGAAGGGACTGGAAGTGGAAAGAGAGTGACGGGAGAGAGCGAGTAGGGTAGAATAAGCGATGGGAGGAGAGAGGAAGGGATGAGAGAGGATGAAGGGATTGCGATGGGAGAGCAAGGGGTTGTTGGCTTTAGGTTTGACAGTCGTCCGAAATCTTCATATATGGTAAATTTCCCAGTTTTCGCCAACTTTCCGTCGACTCGACGCGGACGCACCCTTTGGTCTCAATATATTCCACGATTTGTCAGCCGAACGCGAGCCGGCAGAACCCATAAGAGAGCTACCTAGCCTAAGGCGCGATCATCCGCGCTGTCAGCATAATCCGCGAACCACCGACGAGTAAGGAAGATTTTCTAGTCGACTCAAAAGTCACCTAGGCTAAGGTGCGACCATCTGTTCGGTCAGCATAATCCGCGAATCGACGACGAACGAGGAGTGGTTAGGTTCCTCGATCTCCACTGGCTGTTTCCGCAATCATGACGCTATGCAGCTGTGCTTGTGCGGCCATGCCTACATGACGCAATGGTGGTCGGAGGTTGGCTGAACGAACCACAAACCATCCATATGGTTGTACGAAAAATGCATTGAAACCCTTGTTGTACTGTGTACTGCTCGGTTGAAAGGTTGCGGTACCAGTCAGGGAATTCGCGCACAGTTGATGGGTACCACGCAGGGAAAATGGGTACCACGGAGGAAAGATGGGTACCACGAAGGGGCGCAGATGATCTGACGGGTACCATCGAGCCACGTAGGTGACTGCTGATGTCATTGGGCTCCATTTTGGTTACTCAGAAGGTAATTACCCTAGAAACATCCCTAGAGTGCAGCCGCTATACCGCTTGGGAACGTGACAAACCAAACTAAATCGTACAGACAACCCCGAAATTGCCAAAACTCACAAATAGACTCTCACCAACATTCTTGCTCCAAGTTCACTGGAGTTGTTTTCCGTGGCAGTGGTGTAGCAGAAACAAACGAGTTCAGTCATTTCCTGGCTCGAAACAAAAGTCGGCCCGGGTCTGCTACGCCGAACTGGCGTTACGTTTTACATAAAATTGAACCGCATCCCGTGAATTTGAGTTTTGTAACTCGGACTTGGAATCGAGCCAGTACATAGGTCTGTACGAGGGTGCTTCTTGACTGAAAACATTCTCGTAAATTTCTGGGCCTCAACGGGGAACTGCACGAAAAAAATAGCTCCCCCTCCCTCCACCTAAGATCGCCTTCCTGGAGTGTCCGGACAATGAAGGGGGGTCAGCGAAAAGTGCACAAGGCACGTGTGAAGGCATTTGGGTTTGTGATGAGGTGGCGGGGGACGAATGAGGACGTCGCACGTGGGTTGAGCCCCCCAACGCGGTCAATCCCATGCATGCAGATTTTGCCAGGGAGTGGTTACAAATGCATACAATGAATGTCGACCCGTCGGGTAGCCATGCGGCTACCCTTGTTGAGGATTGAGTCAGCTGTATGCATTCGCAAAATTGCACTGACATAGGTTGAAAGCAGTTGAAAAATACCCAACGTTTGAGCACGTAGGGGAATCTTTTGAGCTGCCACGCTGGAACCAGTGCGGTGCACTTTTGGGGGGCTGTCGTGTCCTAAGATCGCGGTCCTGGGGTGTCCAGGACACCCGAACTCTGGACACTCCGCACGTTAGTACCACGTGCTGGCAACATGCCCGCCCACACACACGTCGCAGGGTTGCCAATGTACACTCCTGCGACGTTTTTGCACGACCCTTCTTCCAAAGTGTTGTCGGGGCAACCTGCAGCCGAGGGGGTGGTTTTTAGGGAATCGTGAGAAGCCTGGGGCTGTCAAAATTATTTGGCGCACTGGAAAAAAAACACAATCCCCATAGATTTCAATAATGTTCAGGATTTATTTTTCCAGGATTCCCAAACGCGCGAGTTTTGTCGAGTCGGATGTTGCATTTTCTGGGGTGCGCCCTGGTGTTTCTTTCACACCCAGGTTGTCGCAGCAGTTCGATCGTGCGCGAATTTCATTGGTACACGAGTACAGGTGTACAGCGGGCAGGGTCTGCCCCTGCGACGAGTGGCACGCGTTGCCTATCCCCATACGGTGACTTTCCAGGTCAGCATGTCCCAGGACACCCCAGGACCGCGACCTAAGTTCGCAGGAAGGCGATCTAACGCCACGCCTCCACCCCAACAGTGAAGCCGTTTTCAGAGTTTTCGCTGTAACCTAAATGTCAGTCACGACTCAAGACAGTATTGGCATAAGCTATTCCTGATCGCCTAACACAACATGCACTCTGCTTGTCCTACCAAAAGAATCAGCATCCATCCAGACTCTGTTGGCCATCCATTTTAACCACATGCCATCTAGATACTCACACTTCATTGGCTTCTTGTCCAGTCCAGTGGCCCAACAAGGCTCAAGGCCATTTTATTATATCTTTACAGATTACCATTAATGAAAGCGTTGTAACACCGAACTGAATCCAATATTGTGCAATTCCTGAAATGCATTGGACATGATTTGTTGTGAAATGCAGCGCAGGCCACTCATTATTGTACGGCACCAAACCCGCTGCGTATGCTCACTAAAGCATTCGTAACTTGGCCCAAATCAACCTTGTTTTCGCTGTCTTGATCCCCTTGACCCAACACTAGATTGTACCGTAACCCACAGGCGCTTGCAAGGAAGTGGTAACACGCGTTGTCGTAACGATCTGGCCGAATCTCAAGCACAGTAGCACCGATCGGCATGAAGACCATGTTTGCTAGCGCTGCCCCATGCCCTGCTATGAAGAGACGCGCTTGCAGGAAGAGAGACCGGGCTGTGTGGGCATGGTGATTCCATGGACAGGGGAAGGGGGTTCAAATATCAAGCACTGTAGCACCGATCGGCATAAAAAACCATGTTTGCTAGCGCTGCCCCGTGCCCTGCTATGAAGTGATGCGCTTGCAGGAAGAGAGACCGGGCTGTGTGGGCATGGTGATTCCATGGACAAGGGAAGGGGATTCAAATCTGAAGCACTGTAGCACCGATCGGCATAAAATACCATGTTTGCTAGCGCTGCCCCGTGCCCTGCTAAGAAGAGACGCCCTTGCAGGAAGAGAGACCGGGCTGTGTGGGCATGGTGATTCCATGGACAGGGGAAGGGGATTCAAATCTCAAGCACTGTAGCACCGATCGGCATAAAATACCATGTTTGCTAGCGCTGCCCCATGCCCTGCTAAGAAGAGACGCGCTTACAGGAAGAGAGACCGGGCTGTGAGCGGGGAATAGGGGGGAATGAAGGAGATAGGGAGAAAGAAGGAAGGAAATGGGGGAAGAAAGGGAGGAGAGAGCAAGATCACACGGCCACTGAGGCATAATCACTCATCTGACGTGCATGTGATTCCTGAGAATATTTTACCATCATACACCGCCAGACTGATGCCATTTACAACTATACAGCCAACCGCACGTCGTCGTTTCTCACCTTCAAGTATCGGAAGGGAACCATCAAAGGTCCGAACCTTCTCCTGCCCGAAAACTTTCTTCACCTCCTCCAACAGCTCCTCAAACTTGTCCAAAACTCTTCGGCTGCCCGGGCGGCGAGCGACAACGACCAGCCAATCAGAGCGCAGCACAGCTGCTGCTTGGCTCTCCGTGATTGGCTGGATCCCTCGGGGTTGCCAGCCATGCTTGTGGAAGAAAGGGAGGCCGTGTGGAGGGAGCAGCGCCCGCAGCCTCATGTCCCGCCAGATGGCTGGGGAAGGCTTGCCGCAGCACTGGTAAAGAGGCTGCTTGTAGCGAGGACAGAAGATGGTACAGATTCAATAGATAAATAAACCAATCAACATTATAAAGTAATAATTTAATGAAAGAAAGGAAAATAAAAATGTGAGGAAGGCTATCCTGAGGAGGACTAAGGAACAGAAGTGGGCATGTGAGGTGGTCGTGGTGAACACAGGAGGACGAAATGCAGATGATGCAGTTCATATATGTGCACATAGATGTGTATACATGTCAGCATATACATTTTTTATACAAATGAATGAACTTAGAATTAAGAGTGATGAATGCACCATGAAGTGTTGGTCGACCAGGATGAGCTCATTAGGTTTGAGCTCACCGGGAGTTGAGCTGTACGCTTCGGTTCTACGCTTCGGTTGTACGCTTTGGTTGAGCTGGCTGTGTTTTGAGTTGACTAAAAAACACAACTGATGGATGAAATGGATTACGGGCGTACCATGAACAGTTGATCGACTAATATGAGCTCGTTGGGTTGGATGTCCACTCGGTTGATCTGCGCTAGCTCCACCCCCACCAGTGGCTTGAGCACCCGGTCATAGAACGCCCACTGGGAGAGATGGTGTGCGGAGGTGAAGGCGCGGAGAGGGAGAATGAAGGATGGTCATTTTCAGGAGCAGCCAGTTGGGGTTTGGGTTGATCTGTGCTAGCTCCACCCCCACCAGTGGCTTGAGCACCCGGTCATAGAACGCCCACTGGAGTAGCAAGGGAGAGAGGAAGGGAGAGCAGGTCACGGATGGTCATGCATCAGTGAGCCACGTACTGCCATTTTGGGCAGCTTCAGCAGCAAGGGGCCGAGCATGGGGAACTGTGGCAGCCACTCTATCAGCCTGCGATAGAATGTTGTAGCTTGTGGGTACACGAGGGAGAGCGCGAGTACCGCAGTACACCGCACTATACCTATGCCCTGACTGAGCGTACCTGTTCGGGCGTGCCAAGGACTGCTATGTTGGGAAGCTTCTGCAGCAAGGGGGCGAGCAGCAGGAACTGGGGCAGCCACTCTATCAGCCCGTGATAGAACCAAGAAGCATCACACATCACTGCACTGCACCACACTGCAGCCCATTCACACGCACCTGTTCGGGCGTGCCAAGGACTGCTATGTTGGGAAGCTTCTGCAGCAAGGGGGCGAGCAGCAGGAACTGAGGCAGCCACTCTATCAGCCCGTAATAGAACCCCGTGGCTTGGGGATAGACGAGGGAGAGCGCTCGGTGCATGTGGCGCACTGGTGTGGCCTGGGGGTATGAGAACTGGTGGGGGAAGAGCAGGGGGGAGAGGTAGAGGGAGTGGAGGGCAGAAGGAGGGAGGACGTGACGAAGGGAAGGGAACCCAGGAGAGCTCCCCATCAGTCTGTGGTGTACATCAGGGTACACAAGGGAGACCTATCGATCGATCAGCACGTAGCTTCAAGGTTCACAAAGGAGAGCGCTCGGTGCATGTGACGCACTGGGGTGGCCTGGGCTGGGGGTATGAGAACTTGTGGGGGGAGGGAATGGGGGGAAGGGGGAACGGGGGGGAAAATGAAGGAAAGGAACCCCAGGAGAGCAATCAATCAGCAGGGTACGCGAGGGAGAGAGCTCAGTACACATGTGGCGCACTGAGCTCAGTACACATGTGGCGCACTGAGCTCAGTACACATGTGGCGCACTGAGCTCAGTACACATGTGGCGCACTGAGGTGGCCTGAGTTTATAAGAACCGGTGGGGGGAGGGAGGGAAAGGGCAGGGGAGGAGGAGGGAGGTAAGGGAGGGAATATTAAGAGGGTTCACGAGTTAATATTCCCTCCCTTACCTCCCTTCTCCCCCTCCTTCGAGCTCTTACCCTCGTGTACCCCCAGTAAGGGAGGGTTCTCAATCAGCTGGGGGTACACGAGGGTAAGAGCTCGAAGCATGTGGCGCACTGGGGTGGTCTGGGGGTATGAGAACTGGTGGGGGGCAATAACCGAGGATTTAAGTGGAAAAGTTGGTTTTTTCTTCTTAATCCTCATTCTCTCACTGATTGCCAACCCTAGTGCAAGCTGCAAAACCCAAAGGCAAACTCACAAACCACACACACACCTCTGAGGAATGGCCGCATTCTGTTTGAGCAAAGTGTGTCGACCCGTTAAACACCAGCCCCTCCTCCACGTTTACGTAGACCCCCCGCAGCAGAAATGTCTGAAACACCATCCACTTGTTTTCTGCAATTCCACACCACGCGCCACCACTTGCGACCTCACATCTGATCTGACCAGCTAAGAACTAAGATTCTTACATCAAACCACTCACCTCAGAGAAATGAAATGGCCGCATTCTCTATGAGCAAAGTGAGTGGACTGATTAAACACCTGCCCTTGCGCGCTCTCATAGACCCTCGCAGCAGGAAGGTCTGAAACACCATCCACTTGTGCCATGCAAATCTAAGCTGCGCCCCACCACTTGCTACCTCACATCAGATCTGAACGGCTGGGGAGGGGGATTTTTACATCAAACCACTCACCTCTGAAAAATGGCCGCATCCCTTGCGAGCAAAGTGTGTGGTTTGATTGAACACCTGCCCCTGCGCGCTCACATAGACCCCCCGCAGCAGGAAGGTCTGAAACACCATCCACTTGTGCCATGCGAAGTCAGATTCATGGCTGCATCTCGAATCGAACCCCTCTGCACCGCTCTCCACCGCATTCTTCACCTTCGGGCAGTTTTCCGGTGCCCGGAGCCACTGCTTCCCATCGTCCTCCAGCCCGGGATTGAAACAAGCAGAAATTTCTGGGTTGACCGAGCACCTGCCCGAGAAATCCGGGCAGGTGGGGGCGTTGGAGCAGTTGAGGGAGTCGAGATGGGGGGAATAGAGGGCACCGATGTTGAGATGCAGCTCTGACATAGAGGAGCGAGAGAGAGGGGAGGGGAGGGCGGCTGGAGAGAAGAGGGCTTCTTGTTGCAAGGAGCCCATGGGGTCTAGGCCTAGGGATTCCAGGGAGCTGCTGCTGGTGGTGCTGCTGGTGCTGCTGCTGCTGCTGCTGCTGGTGCTGCTGCTGATAGTGCTGCTGGTGCTGGTGCTGGTGCTGGTAATGAGGGTGGGACTGCTGCTGCTACTGCTGCTGCCTGTACCAGTGCTGCTGCTTGCAGTGCTGGTAGTGGTGGTGGTGGTGGTGCTGCTGCTGCTAATGCTGTTGGCAGAAGCTACAGGTTCGGCTGGTTGACCCATCAACCGCGCCTCTGCCTCTGTGAGGCGCTGCAGCAGCTGCTGTGCGCGCTGCTGGGCCCTGCAGGGCACATGGGGGGTCGTGAAGGTACAGTGTGCGGATCAGGAATGAGTGTGAGTGCACACACACACATGGCAGCAGCTACAGGTGCGGCTAGTTCTCCCCCACAGACGTGCCTCTGCCTGCGTGAGGCGCTGCAGCAGCTGCTGTGCGCGCTGCAGTTCCCTGCAGGGCACATGGGGAGGCAGGTACAGTGTGCAGATCAGGGATGAATGCACACACACACACACACACACACACACACACACACATGGCAGGAGCTACAGGTGTGGCAGATTCCCCCTGTAACCGCGCATCTGCCTCCGTGAGGCGCTGCAGCAGCTGCTGTGCGCGCTGCTGTGCTCTGCAGCAGGGCACGTGGGGGACCGGGCAGGGAGCACACATGCAAAGGATATGAATGCGGGCCATACAGAAAGACATCCTCACTGCTGCGGCGAATACATGGCACTGTTGATGGTGAGACAATCAGCATGTGCAGTGAGAAACACGCATGTCACAGGAACCCTACATAAACCTTGACCCAAAATCCTAAGCCAGCCATACTCACTCACACACTACTCTTTCCACCCTGTGCTGCTGAGAATCGAATCTCCCAGCTCCATTTTCTGTTCCTCCCCCAAGTGTTTTTTGAGAATTCTCAAAAAATATTCGAATCTCCCAGCTCCATATTCTGTTCCTTCCCCAACCCAACCTACACATGAGCAATGGGCGAACATGTTCCAGCGAACCCAACAGATGTTCGCCCTTGTGCTCATTTCTACCCCAACCTCCTCTATCTAACCTCCTCACACACAATGACACAACTGGCATGAAAACCCTTTTGTTATACTCACACTTGTCTGTTCACCCTCTGCTGTGCCACATCAGCAGCCAGCTGCTTCGCCTCCTGCTCCAATGATTGTATTTCCGACATTACCCCATTTCCACCAGCTGAGCTAGCAGCTGACGTGGCAGATGCTGTGCTGTCAGATGACGTGGCAGATGGCCCACTGTTGGATCCTTGGATCAGTCAAAATTCCTGCCTGGCTTCACTGGCTCCTGTTTCAAGCGATTCCAATGATTGCTGTGAACGTATCACCTGTGGTAACCCTGTTACATCCGGCAACCCTAATGATTTCGGTAACCCAGTTTACTCTGGTAACCCTGTTGACTGCCCTGCTGCTCGCTCCTGCTCTGCCAACTGCTTCCTGAGCTCCCTTTCCATCTCCGAAACCCTTCCCAGCAGCATCTCGTCATTTTCCAGGGTAATTTCCCCTGGCCCTGCACCTGCCTCTGCACCTGCCTCTGCACCATTCCCTGCTGCCCCTGTCCCAAACACATCCTGCACCCGCTGCTGCAGCAGCTGCGAGTCGGTAAGAAACTCCGGTTGGGCTTGTGCTGTCTGCAGCACTGCAAGGGACGGAGGCGAGGAAGGCAAGACAAGGGTAGGGGAAGGAGAGTGAGCGTGGCAGAGGGGGCTGAGGAGGGGGGGGGGGGGGGGGGGGGGGCTGAGAGGAGAGACGACTTTTGGGATTGTGCTGTGAGGAGGAGTGGAAGGGAGGAGTGGGACGAGAGGAAAGGAAGGGGGCGGGAGGGAAAAGAGGGGATGGCATGGATGGATTGGCGGGTGGGGAAGTGGGGATGGGGGGAGTGAGAGGCTGCTGCTGGGGCTGGGAGAGGCAGAGGGGGTGGGAGAGGCAGAGGGGGTGGGAGAGGCAGAGAGGGCTGGAAGTTAAGGCTGAGGAGAGACGACTTTTGGAGTTGTGATGACAGGAGCACTGACAGAGACGGGGAGGAGGGGGGGACTGGGAGTTTAGGCTGAGAAGAGACGAGACGACTCATGGCCTTGTACTGACAGGAGCACTGACACAGCTGGGAGGGAGAGAGAAGGAGGGAGGGGGGTGGGAAGTTGGGGGAAAGGGAGGGGGAGCGAGAGTGGAGGGGGGGAATGGTGGGGAGAATAAGGGATGGGGGGAATGAATTGGCGGAGGAAAAGATGGGATGGGGGGAAATCCTTACATGCTTCAATCGAGTCAAATTGATTGGGCGCATGCTAAGGAGGGTTGGGTGGAGGGTGGGGGAGGGGAAAGGGGGAGGAGAGGAGGGAAGAAGAGAACGGGGAAAATGGAAGAGAAATGGAAGGAGGGGAAGCAAGATGCGGATGCATGCAGAAAGGTTAGGGTCGTTCTGGGGGGAATTCACTTCCGAGAATTCTCAAAAGTGAATTTAAAAGACAATTTCTTAGGAGGAAAAACAAGATGCGGATGCATGCAGAGGCGTTAGGGGCATGCCGAGGAGAGTTGTCGCAGGGAGAGGGGAAGCAGGGAAACGAGAGGCTGGGAGCGGGGAGACGAGAGGAGGGGAGCTGGGAGAAGGGTGACGAGTGGGTGATTAAAGATGAGACGCGAGGAGAATGGAAACTCGTGGCGCGAATTGAAGCAGAGATGGGGATCCACGTGGGCTTTGAGACGTTACTAGAGCCACGTGGGCTTTGATTCGCGCCGTGCAGCCACGTGGGCTCCCCAAAACACACACGGTCGGACGAACAAGCGCATTGTGGCAACTAGAGGGGAGAATCGACTCAAAAAAAAAAAAAAAAACAAAAAAACAAATAAAAAGGTAAACAAACTGCTGGAAATGCTGGATCTAAATTCAGAGGGAATTGTGTTGAACCCAAAAGTGGGTCCGAGAGGGAGAAGAGTCAGCAGCATTGGCTTACGGAGAACGAGGAGCAACGGACAGAGAACCCCGCTAGCAGGCATGCTGCCGTCCAGCCGCAGGGTTTGAAACGGCGTCTCGTCTCTCGCTCGACTCGATGATGCTCGATTTGAAACGGCTAAGAGAGCATTCCGGGCTTGTAACAAGCTGTTACGAACAGAATCTCCAAGAATGTTGGAGGGCCCCAAACCCCGAAAAATGGGTTAGGGGCTGGGGGTCGCAGGGAGTCGTTTGACGGTCGCCTGTTACGAGGTGGGCTGTTCGGAACAGCCCGGAATGCTCTCTAACTCACTCCGTGCAAGCCGGAAGCGGAGAATGTTAGGCCCGCTGGCCTAAATCCGCTAAAGAATTAGCGGGGTCGACTAAGTCGAGGATGAAGCGCGGCGGAAGACTTTGGCGAAAGAACTACTAGCGAAATAGGCGAAGGAGTTACTGAGTAATTGAAGAAGAGTTGAATGAGAATTGGTTGATAATGCCAAGTACAAGCAAGGTTGATATAGCATGCAAGAAACAAGGTTGGAAAGTGGATTGTGGGACCAAGAATTGTAGTGCAAGAAAAGTAGAGTGCCACGTGGCACTAGAGAATCTGAGAAGATAAGGATAAGGGTGACTTGGAAAGTACTGTTCAAAGTGAACAGTAAATCCCCCCTT